ACAGTAAATAGATCTGCCAGTTAGAAATCTATAACAACTCCAAAAAAGTAAAAAAACAGGGTAAAATGGTGTCAATAACATAAAAACTTAAACAAAGGTCAATGGAAGAACATGGCTTAATTAGACTATACATTTATTTATAAATTTATAGAGTAAGTCTCCCTATCATACTCTGCAGTCTAAGTGAAAGGTGATTTTCATGTTAAGATAAGAAATACTTTTTCATCTTACAGTTTTTGAAATTTCATTCACATAACCTTTAAAACCCCCTAAACAAATATCAAAAGGTTTTTTTCCATAAAATCTTTATTTTGTTTTCTCTACCCCAACACTATATGGCCTCAGTCGATTTGATTGAACTTTTAACCACCACCACAAAAGGTAAAATAAACCTATATTACCCTTTTTTCTTTCTAGAATGACTTCACATTGTGACAGAAAATTACAATTATTTATCCTAAACAGTTTAGGGCTCATAGCAAGTTAAATCTTTTCTTATTTAATTGTATTGTTGTTTGAACCATGTCTAACTAACAAACTTGTGATACAAATGGTAAATCACTTGGCAAACACTTAGTACAAGTTATAGTATTGAATGAAGTAATGCATGCATGAGCTACTCACAAGTATACCTTGTGGAGAAATTTTCTTTCTTTCAATTATCTATACTTATCTTACCTATTAAGTTTCTAATTTCTACATTTTAATTATTTTTATAACAATAAATAAAAAATATACTTAAAAGAAATTTAGTACTTATGTTTCTCTTCTTGTTTTTTTTTGCTTAAGGGCACAAAATACCAACACACAAAGCAAACAATGTCCTATAACTATTATAATTTAACTATAATTTCTAACTGAGGCATAAGAGCCTTAAAATAATTCCCTTAGCTGTTCAATCGGATATTGATGATAATAACTTTGAATATGAAAGCAAAATAACTGAAACACTCTACTGAAAACAAGGCAAAATAATATACATCATTCGGTACATTAAAAATGTTGTCTTTCTATTAGTTATAAATGATGTAGTAGCAAACATAAGACAATTACTGGCAACTTGTGAAAGAGGATGTGACCAGAGGGCATGACAAGTGGGTTTAAACCCTACATAAACCAAAACTGAAAGCTATAAAGTTATATTATGCCTTAAGTCTTATCTATACTTATGTTAAACTTAGGACATGATAGATGTGTGATAAGAAATTGAACAAACAGTATGAACAAATGTCATGTTACACAGACAAGGGAAGACTGAGAATATATTTACATATATCTTTTTAAAAATGAGAAATTAAAATTTAAGTAACATTAACTTTTGTTTTATTAACTATATTTTGATGCCAAGTTTATTCCTATACATTGATAATAAAGTAATTTAAATATATTTTTAATGTAACTCTGTAAAAAGTTGTAATATGTACATTTTTATCTATCCATATCACGAGTTAAACAGGTTAATTTTATCAGTTCTGAAAATTATAGTAAAATCCTAAGAATATCTACAAAATTGTGCAATAATCTAGTTAATTTACATATTACAGCATAAGACTCAAAAACAACCCTGTATATACCAACATACACATAATAGTTTGTTACAGGAAACAACTCAGTATATAACAATCTAGCAAAGATTATTGTACAGTACATGGAATTATAGTCTGTAACTATATGGTCAATCCAACAGTTTGGTCAGATAGCCTCATGAACACAAAGTGAAATATAGATTGGTACCGTGTCTTGTTTAAAGAAATACATACAAATAAGCCAATAGTTTATAAATATCAGAGGAATGAGTTCTTGGGTATGTCCAGGTTTGAGAGACTAGTAACTATGTTACTGAGGTGAGTGTCTTTATTTATGCTGGGTTGTCCCATGCGTCTCTTAGGATACACATTTTCTGCATCCTCTTTCTGCTTATACCATTGCTTAAAAGAATTGTTTGATGATGTCCAAGCATAATAGACTTGATGGAAATGGTATTGTACAAAAAACCCATTACCATGGTGAACACACTCTCTTGATCTAATGTGCAGGACATTTTGCTGAGGTCAAAGAGGTTGTGTAGAAATGGTACAAAGTCTGATGGTAAGTAGCCCAATATGTATCTTATCACATAATTTATCATTTCTGCACATTTTAAAATGTTTACAACCATTTGTAGACACCCTATATAACATGCATCTAACTGCAATCCACTATAAATTAGTGAAGTAAACAAAACATAAGTGTAAAAACAAGTGTAAAATAATACATATAGCATGTGGTTGAAAAACATTTACATGATTATCAGAATACAAATACATCACTTGACTGAAAACACTGCAATTTACAATAAGATGCCTATCACAAGGTGAACTAAAAACATCTTATTTTTTAACTTATTAACCATAGTCGAATAAAAATACTTAGGTTTTACAAGTGTATTTATCAAAAATATTAATGAAAATAACTTTAAGCAATATATGACTACTTGGGTAATGGTGTGTTGTGTTTGTAATGTGTATTCAAAATAACCTTCAAAGTCATAGTTCACTATTATGTAACTTCTTATCAGGTTTTATTTATCTATTCTCTTTGTTTTGATTAGGTTGTTTGATTAAAAATAAAATTACAATTTAGATGTTAAAATTATCAGTTTAATTTTAAAAGATACTAAAAATAAATGCACTAGTGCAAAATGAAGGAAAGAGCTTTTATGTCATCAAAATGTGTGTAGAACTCAATCTGACATGACAGTAAGTAAAAAGTATACTATACTGTCACAAAACCACTCAAATGCTGAACCAAAGTATTGCTACCTACAATGGCATTTTCTTCATCTACTTTAAGCAAGAAACTTAATATTTAAATTAAGATAAAATCCATACTTGTCTCTTGAGCAAATAACAGCCTTCACTTCACTAGATATCTTTATCATGATATATTTGTCTCAGAAAAACATCTAATCCTCTTTTTTTTTTAAATACTATTCTGAATGATGTGAAAATATTTTTCACCAAGACAACTGTATACAAGTAAGATAAATGGCTTTTAGGAGCAACACAAACATTTTCCATCCCTTAGTTTTTCTAACCCAAAATCTTTGAATACTATTTCACAGTAGAGACAAAAGAATTATCAAACTTCTACCATTATTTATGGAAACAAAAACTTTAAGATATCAAAACAAATAAAGATCTTGACTGTTATTTGTGAAATGACTTACTTCTCTAACATGAAACTATACAAATTTAAAAGAACAGATATAATTGGCAAAAAAGACCAATGGCTTGGATTATTTGAAATTTTATAAGTGAACTCACTGCTAGAAAACAAAATGGCAGTTTTGGCAAATCATTATATAGTTTAAACCCCACCGCATGTTACAGAATGGGCCCTAACACACAGTTTGATAACACAGTAAAGATGTGATACATAAGCATACCATGTTTTCTACCTCCTTGTAGTAATATAGAAATTCTCTAATTTTTCATTTATGCAGATGTATGTGTAGTTTCCACCTAACAATTGGTCCAGAAGGTTAAGTTACTTTAACTCTAGTTGCCCATTTGTCTGTGTCATTTACATAAGATAGCATCTTTTGTCTTCCTGTGGGAGAGAGAGAGATGTACATGGAATGTAATGTTAGACAGTTATCTTTTCCACTGGCAGTCAAGTAATACCTTGAGGTTATGACCTTCTTTACATTTCAATGGGACAGACCAACAGTGAGGTTGGTAGCAATCATTGTAGAATAATGTATACAATACTATTATCTCTTATAAGTTTTTTGGAGATTTTATAGTGATAACTATCAAGTGAAGTTGCTGTTCTTCAACCAATACACAGATTTCTTTTTATTGTGTTTGTACGTATGAATAAAGATTGTTTACTTGTATTTTTACATTGTGTTCAGTCTCTTTCTTTATCAAACACAGTCAAAGAATTCAGATTTACTCTGTCATGTGTTTCCTGACTGAATCTCCTATTATTCTGTGGACCTATCTTGTCACTCTTGGAGTAAATCAGTTTTACCTGAGAATACCACAAAGCATAGCCTTTATTCTAAAGCAAGTAAAGAAATTATGATATTAAGAAACTGAAAAATACCAAAAAAATAGTGAGGTACTGACCCTAGAAGTTTGATGGCAAAATTTGGTAAAAGAAACCAGCTCTTTAGAAAATTAAAACATCAGTAACTGAAATATAAACCTCTTCTAAGAAATATATCTGCCCTAAACAAATGTTCTGTACTGTAAGCGTCACACAAAAAAGGTGGACTAAGTAGTGGTTTTGAAAAAGAAATATCTAAGAAATGATATTTCAGGAAAATCTAGCTTTAATCAATAATTAACACATATTAAAACTGTTTATATCTGATTCACTGTTCTATTTAACTTCATACTTCACAATTTTTCTTATGTAGAACACGGAGTTACTACTTTTGTAAATGTATATATACAATACCAACAGAGAACATTTCATTGTTTCTAAAATTTACTTATTCATTGTGATTCCAGATATTTTTTTTTCAACCATCTCACACAATTTTCATTCACAACTATATGAAGTTTTGCTATTTTATTGACAAAAACTGTTAAACTGCAGTATCCATCAGTCATTAAAATGGAAAAACAAATTATCCAATAACATTGTCCATGACTTAAAGTGTAGATTCTTACCATTTTGAAAACTAATGGATTTGGGGTTTTAAAAACTCACTGGATTAGTTTAAAGTATGGCTCATCTTTACCCAAATAAAACCAATTAGGTTATGATGAGGCTTGAAGCACTCAAGACCCAGTAGTAAAGAAAGCCTATCCTGCAAGCATGTTTGTTTGAAATATATCTGTTTTTCCATTTTCACTTCATCAGAAAAACCTGCAACACTCTCCAATACCATAATCTTAAATCTATCATACTTCAAAAACTTTACATGATTTTTAACTAATTTCATCTTAAACCTTTAAAACTTGTTATTAGTTCACCAAATGAAGATGAAACTGAAATAATTTTACCTTTTCATATGAATTTCTTTGTTCTTGTAGTGTCTAAATGTTCGACCACATACATTGCAGGTGAATTTGGGTTCTTCATGTATTGCCCTGTGTTTTGTTATGTCCGATCGTTCAGTTCCTCTGCAAAAAACAACAACAACACATTTCAACGATATATTTCAACATATAAATCTTTAGTACATGTCTAATCATGCTACAACATCAAAAACAGTATTGTGCTGAATAGATGACTTGGGACGAAACTGATAATGTATTGTATATAATACATTAATTTTACAAGACCAGAGTTTGTCAATTTGATGCACTTGTTCCGTGGTTTGTTTTAGTTTGTTGTGACAACAAACTACTGGAATGAAATAGCTTGAAACTTCAGAATTTCTTTCTAAAAATTATGTAGCTTCTGCAAATAAAATATCTTATTTTTATATATGATATTTGTATTAACAGGAATTTTCAGCTTTGAAAGTTTGAAAATATTTCACTGTGATATGTTTTTAAGAAACTAATAAAAATGCTTACCTTTGTTGTAGATTTCAATTACTGATTTTTATGTCTTCTACATTATTTTAAAACTTTCCTATAAACTATTTTATAAAACTGTAAATTTTATCATTGTTTTGATTAAAAAAAACCAATCAAACAGTTTCACTATGCTTATGATAACTGGCATACAATAAAAATATCTTTTATGCTATACCAACATTGTAAGAAAGCCTATTTTTTTCCTTTATACTGTTAATCAGAAGGTTCCAACGAATACACAGCGTGGTCAAAAGTAAATAGACACCACCTTTTCAGAAAAAATGAAATTTTTCACTTATATTCATATGAATTGATATATTTATAAATGAATTAATATTTAGTAGATCTTTCTTTCACTTCGTGGAGTTCGTTGATCCTTTGGGGCATTGTGAGAATCATCTCGTCAATTTTAGATTGTGGGATTTTTTGCCCACTCTTGCTTCAAAACTTGGAGCAGATCGCTCTTCGAAGTT